AGGAAGGGCAAATAAAAATGAAAGCAGATGGATAGCATTGATGGTTGAACAGAAAATTAACAGTAATGAGGAAGGATATTAGCTCTGGTGAAGTGAAATCTACACAGGTAGAGCTTAGGAACATCAAGGGGCAAAAAAACAACAGTTTGAGCAACTTTAACCTGTGTATATATTGGGTAAACCAAATCAGTAATAATATGGTAGAGGAGAAATTCCTGGAGTGTGTACAGGATAGTTTCCTGGACCAATACGGTGAGGTCAGGCCATGCTAGATTCGGTTTTGTGTAATGAGAATGCAATAATTGGCAAACTAACTGCGCAAGAACCTTTGGGGAAGTGTGACCACAATATGAAAGAATTCTTCATTAAGATGAAGAGAGTGACACAGTTGATAGAGACTAAGGTCCTGAATCTAATTAAAGAAAACCACAATGATATGAGATAACACAGTGGGAGTTAGAGGAACACAGCAGGCCAGGCAGCAGAGGAGCTGGGAAAGTTGACGTTTCGGGTTGGGACCCTTCTTCAAAATTGGGAAGTGGGGAAGGGAGCTGGGAAATAAATACAGAGAGCGGGGTGGGGCTGGGGAAGGTAGGTGAGATGGTGACAGGTGAATGCAGGTAGGGAGTGGTGGGGATTGGTCAATGGGATGGGTGGGACAGATAGGTGGGAGAGAAGTTGGACAGGTTGTGTCAGGTCAAGGCGGCTGGGATGCGGAGATTTTAAAACTGGTAAATTTCACATTTAGGCCATCGGGCTGTAGGCTCCCGAGGTGGAATATGAGGTGTTGTTCCTCCACTTTGCAGGTGGTGTCATTGTGACACTGGAGGAGGCTCAGGATGGACATGTCAGCCAGGGAATGGCGGGGGGGCAGTGGGTTAAAATGGTTGGCAACCATGGCAACCAGAAGGCTTTGTCCTTTATTGCGTACAGAGTGCAAATGTTCTACAAAATGGTCTCCAAGTGGACCAATTTCAATGGTTTACATACTTTCAGATGTCCCAAGATCCCAAAAGGCACTAAATAAATGCGAAAGCATTCTGATGAGAGGTCATGGAGCTGAAACATTTGTTGTTTCTCTCTTCAGATACAATCTGAACTGAGTATTTCCAATACCACCTGTTCTTATTATATATAATGGCATATTTATTTCTTACACAGATTGATCTCAAATGCTTCTCTCTTTAATTAAGGTTTTGATCATTTACCCTGATGTCCACTTCTTTGGCTTGGTGTCAACTTTTGTCTGACTGTGCTCCTTCGTTGGGATACATCTATATAGCACCTTCTATGCGGTGGCAACCACTAGCCATTTCACATGACTAAGCTAGCCTGTCATAATGCTGCTACGGTTCCAACAATGATCCAACTTTGGGTTTGATGCTGCTTTGTAAATACTTTGATCACATAACCTAACACCACTTAGGCTGGTTGCCTGAATACATTTTGGCACCAACATGGAGTTTGCTCAAAACATTAACACATTTCATCCCATCTCATCAAACACAGCACGCAGAACTGGGTCACTAGGCTTGCAATACTGAAAAGCAAATATGCAGACTGTCTCAAGTTTTAGACCCACACAAAAACTCTCTAGATCAAAGAAATCTGTATTCCTGCTAATTCCTATATTTTGCATACATGTACAGGTGGATGCTGATAATTCAGATTTAAATTTATCAAATCTTAATTTGTGAAATTGTGCCAAAGCATCTCATTTCAACGTCACTAATAAAATGTTTCTTATATTCCATCACACATCACTGAAAGAGGTTTCTAAGTTGCCACATCTGTACCAAGCAGTAAAGCAGTAATTTTAACTTAAGAAGTCTGGCAGCAAAGCCACAGGTTCAAATGAGTGGGATTGGTGAGAAATGCAAACAAAATAGGTGGAGAAATAGTGCAAGCTCCATTACTGTGCCACCAGTCACAGATAATTCAACAGCAAGATATTTATTTTCGGGTCTGACCTTGCTGCAAACTCTTCCAAAACATACTTAGCAAACAGAATCCATACCAACACCAGCACTTTGGTTGCTGCTTTCCACCACAAAACTTGTACAGAATTTGTTTTCAGAAGCCGACCTTTTTGATTGAATTCAATTGAGTTGTATTGTAATTGCAACAAGCCTAAAATCTCCGCTAACGATGGACCCTGCATTTAACTACACAACATCAGAAAGGCATTTGATTTGCATTTCAATAGCATTTTTCAAGACCTCCAGGAAGTCCCAAAGTATGTTACAATCAATATAAAAGTAAGACTTTAATTTATGATGCTTTTCACAATGACCAGATGTGTCAAACACTTGGGAGCAAAAACCTCTTATTAAAATGTAGTCATCAACATGATTATGACCAGATTAATCTGCTTTTGTGATGCTGATTGAAGGATAAATATTGGCCAGAACACGAGAGAATCCCACCTGCTCCGGAGGTAGTAATAAAATCTCTGAACAGATTGACTAGAAAAATTTGTTAAATAAACAAAAATTTGAAAGTTGCTGATTGAGAGCAGATATTTACGAAGACTTCCTCCTCCCCAACGTCCTTCAAAATAGGGTCATGGGACTTTTTTTTTAAAAGAAAACACCCAACTGAGGGAGAGGTAGGATCTCAGGCTAAAATCTCAACCAAATGCCAGTACCTACAATATGGTAGTACTCCCTCAGTACTGCACAGGAGGGTCAGCTTTGATTTTTGTGCTCAAACTCTTGGCGGGGTTGGGGGGTAAAACAAACTCCCTGCTTTCTGATTCAGCCAATACTCTGCCATTCTACTAATTTTCTACTAGTGGAAAACTTCACACTTATCCACATTATAATGCATCTGCTATGTATTTGCCCACTCACTCAACTTGTCTAAAACACCCTGTAGCCTCCTTACATCCCCTTCACCCACTCGCAAAACTAGTTGGATTGTGCCATCTTGGAAATATTACATTTGATTTTCTCATCCAAATCAGTGACACAAATTGTGATTAGTTGGGGCCCCAAGAACTGATCCCTGTTGTAGTACATTCATCACCCCCACATGCTCATTTACTAACGACTCATTCATTTCTCCTGCCTTTAAGTAATTCTCAACTCACATCAGTATATAACCAACCATCCCATGCGTTTTGATTTTACATAACAACATCTTATGTGGAACTTTATAGAAAGCTTTCAAATAATCTAATACATACCACATCTACTCACTCTCCCTCAACTTTTCTATTAGTTACAGCCTCAAAAAATCCAGTAGGTCTGTCAAATACAATTTCCCTTTCATAAATTCATGTTGCCTTTGTTAATCCTTTTAGTATTTTCTAATTTAGCCCTCTTTTATAATAGTCCTCATCCTTGATAATAGACTTTAAGTTAACCTGGTCATCTTTCTAGTGAGCCTTTAAACCAAGGAACCATCTACTTGCTCACAAATGGACAGAAAAATTCCCATGGCAGTAGTCAAAGAAGAGAAGAAAAATTCTCCCTGGTCAATATTTATCCTTCAAATAACATGACCAAAAGAAATTTCAATCATCACATTGCTGCTTTAGCACAAACTGGATGCAATGTTTCCTTAGTTAGAATTCTAACTACACTTCATTAGCTGTAATGCATTCCGGACTCTCCTAAAGTAGTGAAAAACATGGAAGAAATGCAACTTCTTTCTATCTTTGATGGAGCTGATGGGGCAGCCTTTCAAATACTTTGGCACACTGAACATATTGGGTTAACACACTATCTTTCACCTCTAGCTTCTGGATTTGAATTGCCTCATCATTTAAGGAAAGAAAGTTGCTTTGCCGAAAGAGTCAGAAATAATTAAAGCTAGCTTAAGCATTTTCAACACAGTTCTCAATGAACTACCAAAACTTAACTCAAAGCTGGAATTTTCACTCTGAAAAACCACAAGATTAGCTGTCAAAAGGGAACATAATCATGTAGATAGATGGATAAAGTTGTCACTTGGGTGTTCCAAGGTAAACTTTACCTGCTCACATTGTGAAGTGATTGCAATTGTGCCCTCCAGAGTGATTCACATTCTTTCAGCGATGGAAATCAAGTGTTTCCAAACAGCTGATTGAAATTAGTTGCACAAAAACTTTAAAATTAATGTTCACCACAATGAAGATCACTGGATTCTGTTTAACCACTACTCTCCCATGATTATCAAGAGTTTATTAAGTGCAAAACACTATGCAATAAACATTAAGACAAACAAGGGCTAATGTCTATGAACGACTTCACAAATTGAGATTATACAATATTTTGTCATTGTGTTTACAGTCACTTCAAAACATATGGAAAGTACAATACTGAAATAAAGATTCTCACTCTATCAGCCCTGCTCCAGGAGCTAAGTGTCCAATTTCCCAAACATTTAAAGCAAAACACAAAAAAACTATGAAACATACAGCAGATCAGTCAGCGTCAACAGATTAGACAAATTTCTAATACAAAGATAGATCCTTCTGAAAAACTAGATTCTTTTCAAATTACAAATGAACAGTAACTTATACAGGAACAGAGCACCTGGAAGAACAACAAAACCAAAACACACAAGTGGAATGGCATAAAGACCATTTCAATACAAGAGATTGTTTCACAGAAGTGACCACAATAGAAAGCACAATGACAATAATTGAAGGAATGTAATAAATGCAGATAGCATATACCCCAGAGGAGTGGAGATGTCATAAGTGCAATCAGGTCAGAAATGGGAACAGGAATAGCTGGCAAACAACCAGAATAGAGTTCAGCGGTATGGAAGAAAAAAGAACAAGAATGCAAGATTTTCTGATCAACATTCCAAACCTGACTAAACCACATCCACTCAAAATACTAGCTCTTCCATTCAGCATTCCTTCTCAAAAGTCTGATGTCACTAAAACATTTGTGCAACCTTTCTTCTCCAACACGGTTGTATTGCTTAAACAAGTCAGCTTGATATGTGCTCCAAAGGAGTAAGACAGATGTACATAATATCAGAATTTGAAAGATTACTGCACTCACCACTCAGCGGGGTATTCATCGAACCTGAAGAATCAGCAACAGAAATAGTCAACTCCTGACAGCATGACACTAAAGTAAATTAGCATATAACTGTCTGGGATAAAGACAATACATGCATTTTAGACAATCTGGAGACCCAAATATATTTGTTCAAGCAAAGCATGCATACTTCTGAAAACTGAGCTTTTAAAGAATTCAAGAAACATTTAAGTATTAAGGATTGTCAATTTATCAAACATACATGCAAACCTTATTCTGTGATGGGGTGGCTCAAATCCTGCACTGCATCCACACTGCACATATTCTTCAAGTAAAAATCAGATCTACAACAAAAGCTCAGACCTAAAACCTGTTAGGCAATTCCAGACACCTGCAAGTCAGGATTAGAATTTTCTTCTCTAAATTCTTGCGAGTGTCCTGACAAAGTTACACTGTTAACCAGAACAATGTGCAATTTAAAGAAACTAGTTACTTCAAAGATGACCGAGTATACACATTTTCCTGCAGTGCATACTATCCAATATACAAAAATACAGCATGACTTCATTCACTGGAAGACAAGGGTCAATGGCCAGAAAACACAGCCACTATGCTTATTAGCTTGGCTCAATTGTAACAACCTCTATTGAGTAAGGAGGCCATGAACCCCCAACAAGAACTTAAGTACAGAAGATTGAAAGCTTAGAAAACTTCTGACACTATCCTTCAATCAAGGTGATAAACCGGTCCGTCTTTTCTCCCACCTATCCGCTTCTTCCACCTCACTGACCAACCCCCACCCCCACTTCCTACCTACTAGCTTCATCCCCGCCTCCTTGACCTGTCCATCTTTCCTCTAAGCTCACCATTTTCAGGTTGGTGTTAAAAATCCCATGACATGACACACAGAAAACAAGTCATTTAGGTTCTGCTGTTGCACCAGTCAAAGTTTCTCCAGCATTCAACATAATCAAGCGAAAAAAACTCAGTGTCAATGCTGGCTTTAGACAGCTGCTCAGACAGCTTTTGTCACCACACTGTAAAAAATAACTCATTGTGTGAGGCACTCTGGCCTTATCAACAACAAGCTGACTCCACATAAATCAAGCTTTCATTCTCCACTCTCAGCATCACTGTCCAATGTTCCTTCCTGTACCAGTGGCACATTAGTACCTATTTTCCACGATTCCAAATGGAAAAAAACATTTACACCCCCTGCTGTGTTTTTACATTTTTTTTTAAAAATGATCAGATCATCTACATGTGCAACACAGTCCAAGAGTCTTGGTTCCCATTTGGTGCAAGATAGCATAAAATCTGAATACAGAAACACTAGGAATCGAGCTGCTTCATCAATAAAAAGACAAACACAGCTTCAAAAATATGAAATTTGGTAGGTCAATGGTGAACAATCACTGTCACAAATTTAGAACAAAATGACAGATGTAGTAGGAAGATACTCAAAGAAATATTGAAAATAGTTTCAAAGGAAGTGGATAAATATTTAAAAGGTGAGAAAAAAACTACAGCATCTTGGAGAAAAAATGGTGGTGGGACAAACTGGACTACTCTCCTAAAAAAATCTGTACAGATTCTTAAGTGTCCAGATTGGTACAGGGTCAACAAGACTAAAAAAAAATGCATGGTTCAAAGACTGGCTTGGGAGAAATGGGCTTGAATTCATGGGACATTGACTCCAATACTGGGGACAGACAGAGCTATGACGTGACAGACTCCACCTGAACCATACCCTGATCAGAGTCCTGGTGAATCACATAACTAGGGCTGTAGATATGGTTTTAAACTAAATAGTGAGGGTGAAAGTTCCATTGCATGGAAAATTTAAAAAAAAACAAAGGTAAACAGGAAGGTAGGATTGCAGGTTACTGATGGAGCCGATCGTTACCAGAAAACAAAAGGAAGACAGAATATCGTATTGCACACCAAGGAGTCATAAAAGTATCAAGAAATTTGACAAAAGTACAAACTTAAAAATTTTTGATCTTAATACACAAACCATTCAGAAAAAGGTAGACAACAGATAGTGCAAAGCAATGTAAATGAATACGATCGCATAACTTTCATAGAAATGTGGTTATGAGATCAAAACTGGGAATGTAACATTCAGGGATGTTTGACCATTTGGAAAGACAGAAGAGATGGAAAAAGAGAAAGGGCAGCACGGTTAATAAGAGATGAAACAAAAACAGTTGAGAGAGATGATCTAGACTACTATGACATAGAGTCCATTTGGTCAGAAGTGGATAAAAACAGCAAGGGAAAGACGACAGTGGTAGGAGTAGGGTACAGACTCCCAAACAGTAGCCACTCTGTAGCAAAGGCTATAAATCAATAGTACAAGCATGTACGAAGATTAGAGAAATAATTATGGGTGAGTTTAATCTTCATGCTGATTGGGTGAATCAAATTGGAAAGGGTAGGTATGACAACAAAAATTTATAGTGTGTATTAGGGAGTTTCCCAGAGCAATATATCATAAAGCCAACCAGGGAGCAGGCTATCTTGGAACTGGTAATGGAGCAGGTTTAATAAATGAACTCAGAGTAACAGATCCCCTAGGAAGCAGTGATCATAAACTGATAGAATTACGTGTTCATTTTGAGTGAGAAACCTGGGTCAGAAACAACTGTTTTTAACTTATATAAGGGGAATTACAACAAAATAAGAATAGAATTAAATAAAGTGAACTGGATGATAGATTAGCAAGAATGACAGTAAGCAAACAGAGGTAGACATTTAAGGAGGTAATTCATGACTCTCAGCAAAAGTACATCCCTTTGAAGAGGAAAGATTATGAGAGGGATAAACCAACCATGGCTAACCAAGGGAGTTGAGAAGAGCATTATGTTGAAAGAAACAGCAAGAAAAAAATTCTTAGGAAATAAATCTGGGAGACAGTTAAAGGAACGAGGAAATGTCGGGGGAGTTAAAAGATTCATGCAAAATATCTGTTTATGGAGGAAGATACTTCAAAACATTCCATTAATACTGAAAAATCTTGGGGAGGAAGCAAGTACTATCACCATCACTAGAAAAGTAGTATTAGACAAACTAAATTGGGCTGAAGATAGATAGGTCATCTGGCCCTGATGGTTGGCATCCTAGGATCCTAACATCCTACAGAGATAGTAAATACATCGGCTGTAATTTTTCAAAAATCCTTGATTTCTGGAGAAGTACCAAGGGATTGGAAAACTGACAATGTGACACTCCTCTTCAAAAATAGAGGGGAACCAGTACATGTGTTATATTTGGACTTCCAGCAGGCATTCAAAAAGATACCTGACAAAAATCATAAAATAAAATCCATGTAGTAGTATTGGCATGGATTGGAAATTAGCTCATTTTCAGGAAATAGCAAGTGGGGATAAGGATTTTTTTCAGGTTGGTAAAATGTGACCAGTGGGGTTCCACAGGGATCAGCACTAGGACCACAATATATATTAGTGTCCTATAGGAAAGAAGTGAATGTACTGTCATCAAATGTACAGATGATAAAAATAAGGGGAAAGACAGGTTACAGAGAGAAATTTATAGGTTAAGTAAGCAAAATGTTGGCAAATGGAGTATGCAGTTGTTCATTTTGGAAGAGAACAAAGAAAAACTATTTAAATGGAGAGAAACTGCAGAAAACTGCAACACGCGTAGGGACCTGGGGGTATTTGTGCACACGAAAAGCTAGCACACAAGTGCAGGAGGTAATCAGTAAGGCTAATCAAATGTAGGTCCTTTTTTCAAAGGGGCAGGAGTATGAAAGCAGGGAATCTTACCACAACTAAAACAGAAATTGCTGGAGAAAATCAGCAGGTCTGGTAGCATCTGTGGAGAGACAGCAGAGTTAACATTTGGAGTCTAATGACCCTATTTCAGTTCAGCAACTACAAAACCAAATTTGTAGTAGGGTCAGCAGTTTTTGTTCCCTTACTCAAGATAGTTTATGATTTCATTGGACACAGTTCAGAGCAAGTTAACTAGGATGATCACTTGTAAGACAATCTCTCCATACTGGGGAAGACTGAAAATGGTTGGGACTCTTATCATTGGAATTTAAAAGAATGAGAGGTGATCTCATGGAAACATGTCGGCTTCTTAAGGAGCTTGACAGGGTAAATGCTGACAGGCTGATCCCCTTTGTGGAACAGTCTCGAGGACATCGTCTTAGAATAAAGGGGAGCCAATTTAAGACTGTGATGGGGAGGAATTTCTTCTCTCTGAGGGTTGAGTGCCTTTGGAATCCTTCCCACAGAGACCTGGGAGGACACAGGTGTAAATTGTGTAAATTTGAAGCTCAGATAGATAGATTCTTAATCAGCAGGGAATCAAGGGTTATGGGACAGAAGCAGGAAAGCGGATGTGAGGAGCGCAGATTAACCACAATCCTAATGAATGGCAGAGCAGGCTCGAGAGGCCGAACGCCCTACTCCTGATGGTTTTACGGCCAAGGTGAGCTAAATAGCCTTTTTCTGCATTGGATCAATCTGTGAAAGAAAACCATTCAGTCCAAAGAGGTGAACGCACTGACAAAGGTCAGTTTATATAGCTGCTTGAACACACAGATCAATGATGTTTTAGATCTCTAGATTAGACAATTATTTGTTACTGATTAACTAAATCCTATAAATCTTCATATCCAATCATCTGATTTGTGTTGCAAAGATTGACAAACCTGGTGTGTATATCTAAACAGTAAATATTGAACCATAGTGACATCAGCCGACAACAGGCAGTCCGTGCCATAATCATAAACTAAACATTTCCAGTTCAAGTCATATGAACACTAAGGTAATATTAAACTTGATGGAAGACTTCCCCCATGAAATAGCACATGGGTGGAAAATAATCCACTTGGCATCTTCTTTTGACATTCTGCAATGTCGCTGTTGTTCAGGCTGCTCTCACTGAAAAAACACAACAGGACAAGCATTTCCTTCCATGCGAGTATCGATTCTCCAAAGCAGAAAACTGGGTTTAGAATCTGAATAACATTACATTATGGGAAGGCATTTTCATCAAAAAAAAA